TGTGGCCTTTAAAGGCCTAATGAGTGCTTGCAAAATGAAATGATAAAGTGGAACATGAACTCAATAGGAGTATGGTCCCTCGTGGACCATACTAAGTAAACGATGTTTGTTGATACCAGACTGTGCTTGACTATCTAGGCCAGTCGGTTTAGAAAAACCTATGTTACCTGGGCATAAAAAACAAATCGATAAGGGTTCTAATGGGTTAGCCCTTGATGAGGTCAGAGAATATGCTCGAATGAGTGAGCCGAGGGACTGTGTGACCCTTGTGTGTGATGGTGGCTTATAGAGACAGGGGCCAAAGCTTCATCCATGTGACATCACACGGCATGCATATCGATAGATCGTTCGAAAAAGCCAGAAATCTACCTTTTAGGATGAAGCGTATGTATGTACGAGAGATACCCCTATGCACCATAGGAGATGTGGTCGCATCAGGTCTATGTGACATTAACTCGTCTCTAGAGGAGGACCTAAAATCTACAGACTGGAATTGCGACTCATTGGCTCATCAACCACACTGTGGTGACCTGCTAATGAGCCCCTGCTTGGACTGTGTAGGTCATGAGAAACACTAGGTCGGTTTGATAAAGCAAGTGTGGTCTGTAGTACACAGTTGAAGGTAGAGTGCCCATTGATTGTTGATTCCTAAACCATATGGATTCTTTTTCAATCAAATTAATTTAATTGTGTTTGTTTTATGATGGAAATTATTTTAGAATTATTATTTGAATTTTTATGAACCCCTATATTTTATTTATAATTTTTGGATTTATAAAATTAAAGATATTAATTTTACAATGGTTTAAATATTCAAATAATATTCTAAAATATTTTTATTAATTTTAAATATATAAAAATATCATTGGGGCCCTTTGTGCACATGGGCCCACCATATTTCTAAAAGGTGGGGCCAATGAGTGCCTCCCTTGGGTGGCATGTCCCACCCTTATTCTTTTTCCTATTTTTTTAGTGATATAGCATGTGGCCATATGGTTGAAAGATATTGATTAAATATTGATTTGATATATCTTTGAAAGATTGAATAGACTTGTGTTATTTTATGATATGCACAATATTTTGATTATATTTACTTTTATTGATGGGAAAATGATTTAAAAAATGGGGATAATAGTTCATGTGCCTTCCATAATATTGATGACCCATCTATAGAATTGATGACTTAAATCTCTCACCCCACAAGTCACCCAAGATTAATGGTTCATATTCAATCTCACAAGAAGAGGCAAGTCAAGGAAAACCTTAAGAAATCCTAATCGTATTCAAAGTCTATAAAAAGAGATTATCTATACGAAAAAATCTCTACACCTTATTTCTTGTACATAATTTCCATATTTTTCTCTCATATCCCACAAAAGGGTACGCCCTACTTAGAATTTATCTATCTCTCTCTTAAGAAAAGTTTATCTCTCTCATGAAAGCCAAAGGGGGCACTCCCCACTCTCTCATCTTTGATCTCTTTCTCCCACATTGTGAAAGAAACTAAGGGTTTAGGTTATGGAGTTATTTTATCTATTATCTTATAACTATGGATTTATGACTAGGGGTTTTAGGGTTTAGCAAAAATAAAATCCATATCTCTCAAACTAGGTTGCTAAGGGAATTCACCTAGGGTTTGAGTTTGTGATCAAAGGGGTTCATGTTTTATCGGTGTGGCTTGGCCTAAACTTATTTTTCCTGTTGAGATTGAAGGTTGATCATTGATCCCGTGCCATCAGATGGTGATGACTCAGTGTGGGGTATAATAAACCCGATTGGGGTAATCTCTGACACTCTCATTTTGTTTCTTGTCATATTTAATTATATTGTCTTTATATTCTCAAGCATAAAAATTATGGATATTTTCTTTCTTTAAAGAAAATTAGTTTAATAACATCAAGGTTTTTAAGATTTGGATTTGTTAGTTTAGTTTCTTTGAAGCAAGAGGTATTGTAATAAGACTACTTGTAAGTGATTTTTGCCAAAAGAAAAGAAAAGTGATGAAAAGAAGAAAAAAAAAAAAATTCCTCAGCAAGATCGCATTAGTCTTTCTTTCAATTGCAACATTCTTATAACAAAGATAAATGATCTTATAGTATGCAATCCCAATTACAAGTCCTGTAAGTTGTCAACCAGTGCCTTTTTTTCAAGCTGCTTACCCCGTTTATTTGAAAATCACCATTTGTATTCCTTTGGAGCTCGAATATATGAGGCAGAAATGAATTTGCAATGAATCATAATGTGGTTAACCCCCTAGAAAGAAATATTCACCACAATCTTCTCCATCACAGTATTTTTCAACCGACTATATATAATATATCATTTACCTTTTTTATAAGGAGGTCACAATTATTCCTAGCCATTATATGTTAAATTGGATGGTTTGCTATGAGTGTCATGAAGTTTGAGATTATTTTTTTTTTAGTACTTTGAATATAGTCAATGACATACTCACAACCACCCAATTTGAAATCTAAAAGACAAGGACGTTTACAAGTTCTCCTTGTGCAACAAGTAAATGATTGTATTTATTTCCTTATTTAATTGGTCAGAGACATCTCATGTGTGTGTATATATATATTCATAGAGAGGGACCTATGTAACTTCTAGTACATATTCACATTTCTAATTTGCGATAGAATACCTTACTGATTGACAATAGGTAACATGTAAAGAATTCCAATTGTCAATCTGTAACGTGTTCTATCACAAATTGGGAATTTGAATATGTACTAGAAGTTACAAAAGTCTATCTCCATGAAATTTCTATATATATTCATGGAGAGTGACCTTCGCAACTTCTGGTACATATTCAACTTTCCAATTTGTGATAGAGGACCTTTTTGGTTGACAATGGAAAATTCTTTATATGATATTTTAAGTTTGTTATGAGAACTAAACATTATTTTTGCTATGGGAACAACCCAAAAGCACACTAAAACCATGACATAACGACAATCCATATTATACTGTTTGTCTCATGCTTATATCTTATGTTTATTAAACTTATACAAATATAATGGATGTCTCATGCATATATGTTACATTTATTCCAAGTGATATTACACTCCTATAGTAGTATACTATTTATTTATTCCCTTGAGATGAATCTCATCTCGGATTAAATTTTAGAAGCCAAATTTTGGGAATGCAACCTCTTCAATTTAGAGACCAACATCAATAAAAAAAATAATCATAATTGAACCCTTTATGCACATAAAAATAATAACATATCATCATTGAATAAAGGCAGTCCAATTTTTAGAAGGTGCAATCTAAGTGCTTAAAAAAAGTTAAAATTTATTTTTTTCTCTTTTGAGAATAATCATAAAGTAATACTTATGTGGTTTCCAAATGTTAGATTAAAAAGATCCTCCCAATTAGGTCTTTTGATCAAGTGTAGAGGTACACTGTGCCCACCAAAGAGCATGATGTATGCACTCTACACTTACCATATTCAATTTACATAAACATAGTGCATGTCAGTTTGATGTCCTTTTTGAAAGAGATAACAAATATATTTTGCTGATTGGGCAATTTTGATAATCTAATGATATGGGTCCGAACCATTGAGAGGTCTAGATTTGTCTTGGAAATTTTGCTTCCTATCCAAATATATTTGTTAGTTTGGAGAAGTGTAGGTCGATGGACTCGCTACCCGCTAACTAACAAACGTCCATCTTTAACATGAATTTCCACAACTAAAGATTCCTACCCAATGGGTAATATATATATATATATATATTATTTTATTTTATTTTTTATACTCATGATCATCATAGTGTAGGTTATGGATCTCTATAAATTTGGATCGAAGATCTATATAAAAAATGGGTGTTAGATGGAGCCCGCACTAGAATAATATGAGTTAGGGGACTCATAAAAATTGGGTCCAATATTTTTAGGGTGCGGTTTGTATAGAGTCAAGGTTTTGAACAATCAAATTAGAGCCCACCTTCAAATAGTGTGTGAGAAATATGGTTTCAATACTGAAAATCTTTTTGATAGCCTTAGAATATATTTTTATATTTAATTATAAAATTTAAAGTTTCAAAAATAGTGTAGATTGAGCAAGCAGATCTATGAAAACTTGAATAGTTTTAAAATTGTCGGTACAAAAATGCAATACAAGATACACTAATTCCAAAACTTGGAATCCATTTTTTTCTCAAGTCCATGCATCTTGATTTCGAGATGATGATATTTGGACATCAAAATAACCTCTTTTAGTGAAATTTTGTAGGTAGGCTCTAATTTGATTGTTTAGAGCCTAGGCTCTATATAAAGTTTTCCCATATTTTTATCCACTCATTATTTTCTCATCAACATCAACAATATAAAGAGTGCGGTTTGTAAAATATAAAGAGGCTCTAATTTGATTATTTAGAGCCTAGGCTCTATAAAAACTCATGGAAGGAAAATCCTATTTTCACATTTTTTAACATGTTCCTGTCCGCTTCTACAAAAGCGTATCAATCAAGCAAAGCCTGCCTTTATCAAGTACATTCTCATTTAAGAGTAAAATAAACTTACAAGCTTAAATGCTCCCAAGTGAACAAACTATTCATTTGCTCCCACGAGCAAACGGAGGCTAGCAGTATTTTTCCTTCATGTTGCCTTTTTTTTTGGTTAAATTGAGCTGAGTCTGATTCGATAATCATTTTGAATCAGACCATGAGATAGGCGTCCAATTCTGGGAGATTAAGGACTTCTTGATTCATTACATGGGACTACCTAAGAGACATATTTCCTATACACAAATTTCTATCTTACCCATATGATATTTTAGTGTAGATCCTCCAAATGAGTTGTACCATTTTTTGGGGTATTTTAGTTATTTTATTTGTTTAAAATTATTAATTTCATTTTTTTTATGGGTGCATTATGGTCCTAGGATGGACACCCAGATCTTGAGCTCAATCTTATGTATTAAAAAGAAAAAGGTAAAAAATTAAAATATTAGAAGTGCTCGAGAAAAATATATAGGAAGTTTATGTAAATTCACCTTTTAATTAACATTCTCCATTCTTCATCACAAGTAAAAGAAAAATAAAATGTGGATTGTTCTCACTAGGAAGCATTATGTTCTAATCAAGCAATCTGTTGAGCATCTGCAGTCCAACCATGGTGGAGCCACCTTCGAGTGTATAAATTATTCTCCACCTCCCTACAATATTGGTTACAGTGTCGATGTCCACTAGGGAGCATATCACATGACATGAGACTTGTGTGGACGCACTTGGAACGAACATAAAGGAAAGAAAAGACCTTGATTTTTTTTTTTTTGGAAGGTATTAATGAGGGAGGCGTTAGTATTGAGAATAGAAACCACAACATGATGAGAAAGGCCATGTTGCCATTCTAGTCATCATCCCCAGCACACAGGCTCGGTGCGGATCACCCACACCGGCCTGGGGCAAACCCTATCCGTCTCCCAACGACATCATAAGTGACATCAAACCCCTGTTGCTGCCGATTCCCAAGTATGGGAATGTCATCCGTCCCGGCAAATGCTAAACATGTGACTCTATTATCTACTTCAAGGACCACATTCTGACCCCCAAGCCTCATTTGTGCTCCACCCCGGAAATCCAACACCACCTCTGGCACATGCAAGCTGCTCGTGCTCACCTTGAAGCATGTGTCGAGTGTCACGCCTGGCGGTGCTCTTTTTTTGTATGGCATATGCCTGAGCACCGCGGTCTTCAATGCTGTATATAAGGTCTTAGGTAATCGGGTGATGGTTGTGCCAGAGTCTATAAGCATACGGGACGATCTATATACAGGGTCTGACACTGGCAGGGGATGCCCGTCTACCTTTATACCTATCAATTGTACGAAATAGAGGGCGGGGTACACAGACATATGGTACATGGGGGTGTACATGTAGTTTTGGGCAGAGCTTGGGCCTAGAGTGAGCGAGCCGGTGGAATCGGGTGTAGGGAGACAGTATGAGAATGTGTATCCGTATGTTGGGGCTAGCTGTGACATTAGGGAGAGGGGGTGTCGGCCCATGCCTATCAGGCCCGCGGCCCAACCAAAGTAGCCTTCATTGTCTTCACCACAGCCATATATGAAGCCGGGGAAGCTACGGCCCATGGTTATGGTATCCTTGCTGAAGAGGCCCACTGAGAACGACCCATCACCGTAGTTGATCTCGTATTTGCAGGCACCGGAATCGGAACAACCAGTGGAGACTGCAGCGGCCTGTTGCGATTGCATGCAATAATCACTTTGACATGATACCCTGGAGTACGTGGATGAGGCTTTGGGGTCGAAAATGGGACGCGACTGCCTGTGACAGTCTATGCAGGGTCGGCACTGGAGCCAAGTGAGCACACTGCCGGTATCAACTTCCATGAGATATGGTTTTGGAGGGCTGCCAAAGTCGAGGGAGATGATGTAGGTCAGAATTCTGATGAAATAGCCCGATTTTAGGGATTTTTGGATGGAAGCATTCGAGATTTCATGTTTGTTATGCAGGAAGCGGAGGGAGTGGGAGTGTGCTCGGGCTTCGTCGAGATGGAGGGTTTTAGAAAGGGGCAGAGGGGTGTAATTCAGAGGGGAGCATGGGCCATGAACGTGATGGAGGTCGAGAATCACCATGCTCGAATTCTCCATTTTCCGGTGCTCTGAAATTGGAGAAAAATGGGAATGAGATTGCATATCATGCTATATGTATTACACTGTTTGTATGCTACATGTAGTTTCTACTACTTGTTCTCATTGACTTGCCGTTGAGATGAATTGTTCCTCTGTTGGAGCCGGCATTGGTAGATGGATTGCTTCTATCTATTGCCTATCACTGAGAATATATAGTTGGCGCTGTATCTTTACATGTAATACACAAGTGGGAAGCCACTACACAACATTCGGTGAAAATGAACAGTATTTTTGCTTGTAGACTCGACACCGTCTGATTTGTTTAGACGGTGTAAATAAATCAATCACACTGGACATAACATGTCTGATGCAGTTTTATTTTTAAACAAAAAATACGGAAAACTACAACGGCTCTACGAGAGCCATTGTCAGGTGAAATACTATTCATTTTCATCCACAACCTTTTAAGACTTTTCCTACCAGTCGTAAACAAATATTATACTAGATGTAGCATGTCACCTAGGTTTTTATAAACACATACACGCAGTGGGAAAAGAATCCAAACACCGAGAGAGAGACGGAGGTGGGTCAGGACCCTGGGGGGGGGGGGGGGGGAATCTCAACTTGACTCGGCGGCTAGTTCCCAAGTCTTTGTTTATGGATTCGGCTGCCTATTGAACGGTCCGAGTCAGACTCGCCGAGTTTACTAGCTAGAAGTACCTCCACTTGTTAATAATGTAGAACACATTTATACATACACGACAGTCAGAGACTAAACACACATATATCAACAACAATCGCAACATAACATCTCATTATGCACACACAAGATCAAAAGGCCCACAACTGGAAATGGAAAATTTATGATATTTTGGTAATATTTAAACAAGAAAAAAGTTTATATAAGGCTGCAACATTAAACTATATAATTAATGTGCATCTCAAAAATTTAATTGGAAAAATTGTTTTGATGTTGGAAAACCTTTCAATTGATCATCTCGACTTCAAGATGTATGGATATGGAAAAAAAAAAAAGGCTTTTCAATCCAAAAAATAGTGCATCTTGCAATATAACAAGAGGTAAAATTAGATTCTCAAGCTATCTTAAGAAATTTTTACACCAAAATTACTATCTCAAGATAAAATTTGGGGGTCCACTTTATTTTGATTATTTAAGGTTTCAATCTTATGCAAACCACACCCATTAAACAAAGAGTTCAATAAATTCGGAAAGATATGCACTTAAAAAAAAAGTCATGAGATTGAATAGAGACCATCCAATTTTTATATGGTGAGATCTAATTGTTAGAAAACTCAAATTTTTATATTTCTTTTTTTTAAGAATAATCATGTAGTAATTCTCAAGTGGTTCCCAAAATTTCAGATTAAAAAAATCCTCCCAAGTAGGTCTTCTAACCAAGGGAGTAAAAGTAAACTATGCTCGTGCTCCTCCTGTGCTCAAAACTAATAATTAATGAGTATTTATATACCTTGAAATTTTGAAGAGCATCCTTTGTGGTTGATATGTATGAGGGGAGCTACTCCTGTGAGGAGAAGGGAGAAGATTATCCAGAAGGCCATGTCCATCACTTATTTGTCTGATGATTCAAGGGGGCTTGCCCCTTTTATAAGTACCTCACTTTTCACAAAATAAATCTTGGCACAACTTTTATTTTTTTCTTTTTAATTCATATCTCTACTTCTGTGTGTGGGTCCTTAAATAGTTATCTTTATTATGTGGAATTTTTTAGCAAATTCCCGTCAAAGGAGAAAGTTTATATAGAATCGAGGTTCTCAACAATCAAATTCGAGTCTACCTCAAAAATTGCATTAGTAGAGGTTGTTTTGATGCTCAAATATCCTCAAATTGTTCATCTCGACATCAAGATGCATGGATATGGGAAAAAAAATGGATTTCACGTTTTGAAAATAATGTATTTTGTAACGCATTTTTGGATCTTCAATTTTCAAAATTTTCAAGATTTTATATATATGTCGATTTACACTAATTTTTAAGCTTTAAACTTTGTAAATAAAAATGAAAATATATTTTAAAGCTTTCACTAAGATTTTTAATATTGAAACTACATTTTTCGACACTATTTGAAGGTAGGCTCTAATTTGATTGTTTGGAGCGTAGGCTCTATACAAAATGCACCCTTTGTGAAACGATACCTTTTGTGAAATAGGATAGAAAAGTTTTCATTGCAAATGGAAATTTGATAAAAAGCATCTCATGTTACATCAATTAATTGAGTGGTGGTGGGTTAAAATCAGACCGTTGGGTTTTTTAAATGTGTAGTGAGGGATGATGCAAAGAATGAGTAATGTGGGTAGTGAGACGTGATGCAAAAAGTAGGGATTTTTTAATTTTCATTTTTAGTGGAATTATTGAGGGCTAGAAATTGTTTAATGATCTTTTAGAAATTGTTTTCCTTTCTAGGACGAGGTGGTCAAGGTAGCCGGTGCTACAGTGTGATGTCTAGAGTTTCGATCACCACGTCCCAAGTTAACAGCCGAAAAAAAAAAAAAAAAAGGGTCTTGTTAGTTAAAAAATAACAAAAGTTCCATGTTTATTCGTCAGATTGGGGGTAAGCGAAAAATTTCAGGCATACGAAAGGAAATTTTTAAGACACTAAACGGGATGAACGAGTTTTATTGAAGAGTTACCCCGACACATCACCCAGCCATTGGTGTCGCGTGTCAATACATATAGTGTCATCCCAACAATGTGATGTTGTGTGGCTTCACTCGTCAACACGTAAAGACACTACCATGAATTAAAAATAACCAAATTTCTATAGAAAGGGAAATTGTATTAAATATGCTAAACAATATCTAATGCTTGACCATTAATATTAATATTAATATTAATAATAATAATAATAATAATAATAATGTGTTTAGCTGAATCAGGTTTTTAAGCTGAAATACTAGACACCTATATACTAGACATAGCGACACTCGTGTCAATGTCCAAACAGCTGTTTATACCTCAAATTCCATAAGCAAAGCAAACATAGAGACAGCTCTTGACCTCTCTTTCACAACAATTACAACAATCATTGTTATTGACATTTCCCATTCTTCATCACAAGTAAAAGAAAAATAAAAAGTGCAATGTGCTCAGAAGGGAGCATTCTTTTGCTATTAGGCTATGTAGTGAGCATCCACCGTTCAACCATGGTGAAGCCACCAGTCTTTTGTGTAAATTTTCCTTAAGATCAAATCCCCACCCTGCGATCATATCAGCCAGATGGTTGATGCTTGCTAGCGAGTGTGCCACATGGGAATTGTACCGACACACTTGACATCATAAGAAAAGAAAAGAAAAGAAAAGGAAAAGGAAAAGAAAAAAAAATGGAGCCTTGATGTCTAGAACCGGCCACATTGCCGATCTGGTTGTGCTGATTGTGCATCCACAGTGCTGATTGGGCACACAGCATCACTCGGCCGCCAATCACCCGCACGGGCCTGCAGCAAACCCTATCCGTTTCCCGTCAACATCGTAAGTGACATCGAAGCCCTGTTGCTGCTGGTTCCCGATAATGGAAACTCCGTTGCCGGTCGTCCCCGTCCCAGCAAATGCAAGACAGGTAATGCCCTTATCTACTTCAATGAACACGTTCCGACTCCCAAGCCTCATCTGTGCTGGACCCTCATACACCATCACCACCTCAGGCACACGCAAGGCCCCCGTACTCGCCTTGAAGCATGTGTCCAGTATTGAGAATGCTGGTGCCCTTGCGTAAGGCATACGCTTGAGCACCACCATCTTCAATGCTGTATACACGGTCTCAGGCAATCGGGTGATGACTGTTCCAGAGTCCAAAAGCGTCGGAGAGGATGTATATACGGTTTGTGACACAGGGAGGGGTTGCCCATCTACATTTATCCCTATCAGGTGTAAGAAATAGAGGCCGGGTTCCGAAGACATACTATACATGGGGGTGTAAAAAGAGTTTCCGGCCGACCTTGGGCCCAGAGTGAGCGAGCCGGTGGACTTGGGAGTAGGGAGACAGTATGAGAATATGTATCCATATGTTGGGGCTAGCTGCGACACGAGGGAAAGGGGGTGTCGGCCCAAGCCTGTTAGGCCTGCCGAACGTCCAAACAGGCCCACATTGCGTGCACCACACCCATATATAAAGCCCGGGAAGCTACGGCCTATGGTTAAGGTATCCCTGCTTAAGTAGCCCAAAGAGAATGATCGGTCCCCATAGCTGGCTTCATATTCACAAACACCCAACGCAGAGCACCCAGAGGGGTTCAGAGTGGCTTCTTGTAATTCTGTGCAGTAATTACTCTGACATGATATGGTGGAGTAAGTAGATGACGCTTTGGGGTTGTAGGTCGGCCCTAACTGCGAGTGACAATCTAAGCAGGGCTGACACTGAAGCCAGGTGAGCACGCTCCCTGTATCAACTACCATGAGGTATGATTTTGGGGGCGTGCCAAGATTGAGGGCGATGATGTAGTTGCCAACTCCAATGGATTGACCAGATTTTAGGGGGGTTTCGGCCGAAGCTTGTGAGATTTTGGACTCCTTAGGGAGGATGCGGGCGGCGAGGGCATGTACTCGGGCCTGGTCGAGGCGAAGGGTCTCATAGATGGGTGGAGGGGTGTAATTGAGGGGGGAGCAGGGCCCATGCACGTGGTGGAGGTCAAGGATCAGTGCGCTGGAGTTTTCGATCTTCCGGTGGTCTGAAAGAGGTGAAAAATAGATAGTTTTGTGTTATTTTTCTTGTTGAAATGAAGAAAGATCTTATATACCACATGGAGTAAGCTGTTTGAGTACTAACTGCGGTTTCCACCGTCTGTTCTTAATGATATGTGGTAGAGATGAATTGCTTCCCCTCAAAAGTGCACAGTTGTAGAGGAATTGATCCATTCTAATGCATGTCATTGAGAGTAGAAGGTGGAGACTCTATCTTAACATGTAATACACAAATAATATTCTAGATGAAGTACCATTCAATTTCCCTCTGATGCTTCATAAAAGAAGAAACCAAGCAATCTATTAACACATACAAAGAAATAGAGAGAGAGAGAGAGATAGATGGAGAGCAAAGTAAAAGGAAAACAGCAAAACTTAGTAATACCCAACAGTGACACACATCACAGAGACCAAACACAAAACAAAAAGCAACATGAAGCCTGCACACACAAGAGAAAAAGGCTCATTATAGATAGGGGGAAATTCATAATATATTGCTGCTATTAAATAAAAAAAAAGTAGAAAAAACAAAATAAAATCGCAAAGCAGGGAAAAGATGATAAAATGTCAGATGAGTACTTGCATACCTTGAAATTTTGAAGAGCATGTTTTGTGGTTGATATCTTTGAGAGGAGCCACTCCTGATAGGAGAAGGGATAAGATGATCCAAAAGGCCGAGTCCATTACTGAATATTCATTCAGATAATTCAAGGAGGCATGTACCCTTTATACGTACCTCTCCTTTTACCAAATAAATCTTGGCACAATCTGTCTTGTTTCTTCCTGTTTTTAATGTCAACTTCTATGGTCAGTTTGGGTTAAGGGCTGCAAATGGGTTGGGCCGACCTAAACCTGAGGTAGCAGAGCGGAATTATACAATACAAAGTAGTACCATAATTAATTTTGGGCAGATTATGACCTGGACTCGACTAGATCCAGTTAGTTTTGAAATGGACCCGGACCTGACTCATCGGTTCAACCCGTTCTTCATGTTGTGCGCCCCCTGCTCGTCAAAACTTTATCTTAATTCTATGTTTTTTCTATGTGTTTTTTTCTATTTTGTCAGATAATACCATTTGTTGACATAAGATATTTACCTTGTTTTTCTTACAAATGGAAAATGATAAAAAGCATCCATGTTACATCAACGACTTTAGTGGTGGTGGATTGCAAAGAGAGTATGAGACTATTGGATTTTTAGTTGGATAGTGGGGATGATGCAAAAATTAAGGTTCATATTTGAGCAATTATTGAGGTTGGTATTAGAAAGGACAACATTTTCTAGATGATTACTATGGGATGGTGAGTGATAAGGTAAGCGTGTGGTAAGGGTCAATATCATGCATGTGAAATGTGGGTTAGTGTTAGTGTTTATGTAACAGTGCATGTGAATCACTTAATGAAACCCGGAATTAGTCAATTGATGACAAAGTGTGAAAAGCCCTCCAAAGACAAGTATTCCAAAGAATGGGGCAAGGATGCGGTGGTAGTACCACTTGAAGTCCAGTTAAAGGTAATGGCTGTCATTCTCACTAACACTTTTGAATCTTTTCAAAATGGGCAGGGGCGTGTAATCCTCACTGATCTACCGAGAAGAAATAAAAATAAAAAATAAAAAAATATTGCAGTTCAAATAATATTATTTTGAGAAAAAGTTTTATGCTCTTGCAGGAGCAAAATGTACATACTCCTTCGAGCAAAACCCTAGCTATAGCTATTTAATGGTGGCGGATTGCAATTCATGTCAGACTATCCAAGTCCAAGACAGCTAGATCTACGTGTTTAAGAAATTACGATCTATTAATTGTCATCTGAAACTATTTAAATGCTTATTTAAAAGTAGACTCCAAAATTTAATATCAACAAAATCAGGGGTCTTTTGACCAAAGGAGCAAGTGTACATTTTTACCAGGAGCATAGTATAAACACTTTTATTTTGTGTGAAATATATGTTGTTATTATATCAACTTGTGGCATAACCAATATTTAGGCATATAGACACTCCTGCCAGAGCACACTGTACACTCATTCCCTTGGGCAAAAGAGCTACTCAGGAGGAATTTTTTTACATGAAACTTTACATCCACATTTGAATCAGCAGACGATTGTTAAAAAAAAGTTTTTTTTTGTCTTTTTAAATAGTTTCTGGTCTTTAAACAAATTTAAATTGCTACCTTCTCAACACATATAGATTGCTATGTAATTTTTTTTTTTTTAGGTTATTTGCCATGCTCAATATCAAAACATCATTTTCTCAGCAAATAAAGAGTGTTACATAAAAACTCTCTTCTTTGGGGCCAGTTCCTTGGCTGAGGAGATTATATAGAAAAAAATTGTTTCCTAAAAGTAGTTCTACGTTCAGGAGCATACAATCTTTTGACACAAAATAGTTACGATGATCATCATTTTCATGATCATACTGATGACGGTGATCATACGAGCTACAACTTATCTTCTTCTTCTTCTACTACTACTATTACTACAATAATAATAAAATTTTACATCTCATCATTAGGGGAATTTATCGAAGGAAAAAGTTTATATAAGGTTACAACCTGATAGTGTAGAAGTAAGGTGCACCAAAAAAATCCAATAGAAAAAAGTGTTCTAACACTGAAAAACTTACCAATTGATCATATTGACTTCAATATGTATGGATATAAAGAAAAAAAGAATTTCAAATCCTAAAAATAATGCATGTTGTAATAAGTTATTTAGACAGTCTATTGTCAAAATTTTCAAGTGATTTTCAAGAGATCATAAGGTTTTAGACACTAGAACTACATCTTCTAGCAAAAAAATTTAGAGGTGCACCTTACTTGTACAATATAAGGTGCAGACCTTATACAAACCGCACCTTTTATCAAAAAAACTCATAAGAGATGAACTATTCAATATTTTTTTCAATTGCAACTATTCAAACTCATGATCAAATAAAAAGATATGAATAGAATGTTAAATAATTCATCTCTCATAGATATTTTAATAAAATTTCCTCATTTATTATATTCAAAGAGAGCAAAAACTAGAAAGAAAGCTGTAATAAATTATCTCTCTCTCTCTCTCTCTCTCTCTCTCTCTCTCTTATAACAACTACTAATAAAAGTAAAAAAAGTAACGTACGTACCTACCTACTTACTACTAAATAAACGTAACAACTAACTAGTACTATATA